GTGTGTGTGTGTGTGTGTGTGTGTGTGAGTGTGTGTATATGTGTGCAATATACATATTAACCATTTCCTTCAAGTACTTCAAGAATTTCCCTCTTAAACACATTCCTACTGTTATGAAAAATGTCAGTAACATTAAATTGGTTATTTAAAGCTATATGCAATTCTTATATAAAATTTCGTCTAACGGTCGCATTATTTCTATTTTTTCAAACGTGTTCGAGGTACATGGGTAATAGAACTAAAAATACTGCGCTGCCGCAGTCCCATAGCGCACGTAGGGTTACCAGATGGACAATTGAAAAGTCCTGACATTTTGTTGTAAACTTAATCAGCAAGTATGAAAGAAACCTAATCAAGAATTAATTTTGTGCTCTCTCACGAATAATCCACGTCATATTACACGCCTCTCACGCAAAAACCATTATGTCGGAACAAATTCAAATATTTTAATGTTACTTTTTTTTTGCGCCCAGAAGCAATTGGAAAGGGCTACCTCGATACGGCGAGGAAGTGGAGAATGCTTTACGCATACCACGACAGCCGGTCTGTCGTGGTTATGTGGGACTCACTGTGACTACCTACTGGGGAACCTAAGTGATACCCACTAAACTCCACTTTGGGGACTGACAATTGGCCGATTAAGCCGCTTTGTCGGATCGGAAGCGACCCTCTTTTGGGAGAAGAGGGCGCAGGTGGCTACGAGCTGCTGAGAGAGAGCCTACTAAGGCAAACTAATTATGAAAATTTATTATGAGTTGGCCTGAGCCGCCAGGAGGCAGTCCAGGTCGTTTGAAAGTTTGTTTGGCGGGTCCGAGAGAGTGTTTCTCGGCCTGCGGACTCGATAGCGAGAGGCGGTGGGGCTGCATAAGTAGCTGCCTCACGAATATAATGATTGGAATGCGACTCTGAGGCTTTGAAGAAGTTCTCAGAGAGTTTTTTTAAGGAATTGTTGGATTGTAGGGAGCTCTAAGTCCCGATGAAGGTCGGAATTACGGACGTACTAAGGTGCGTTCGTAGCTCGACGACAGAAGAGGTTTTGAACTACTTGGAGTTCATTAATAATTTTAGGGTCAGCGTGGGCAAAAATGGGACCCGCGTAGGACATGACTGGTCGTATACAGACCTTATATAGGGTACGCTTGTTTCTGAGGGACATTTTACTGTGTCGGCCCAACATACTGTTGAGCCTACTCAGGTAAAAACGTGCGTGATGGGTTACTCTTTTGACGTGGGGCCTGAAAGTGAGCCTCGTGTCAAGGGTGACGCCTAAATATTTGGCAGTCGTATGCCAGGGGACAGGGGTCCCTAGCATACGTATTGGTGGAGTGTTTTTGAGTCGGCATCATTTATAATCGAAGTGAACGGCAGAGCTCTTCTCCGGGTTCATATCGATGCGCCATTTTTTGAACCAAGCTCCTAGGTCATCAACTGACTTTTGGATCTTGTTCCGTATGAAAGGTAGCGAGATACCTTTACAGTATAGGGCAGTGTCATCTGCGAAGAGGGAGAGCTGAACACCTTTCTACGGGATGGGAATGTCGTTGGTGAACATGATGTACAGAAGAGGAGCAAGTACTGAGCCCTGAGGGACACCAGCTTTGATGGGGCACTGAGAATATAGCGTGCCGTCGTGTCTAAAAGGAAAGGTACGATACTTTAGATAAGAGGCCACGAGACATACTAGACGATCGGGGAGACCTATTTTATATAATTTGTAGATAAGGCCTTCATGCCAGACTCTATCAAAGGCTTTAGCTATGTCGAAAAAGACGATGGATGATGCTATGAAGAGAGATGGTCTTATGACGACGAGGATAAAAACCGCTCAGGATATATTCCACAATACGGTGAACTTGTTGGGGACAGGAGTGTTTCGCTCGGAGACCGAATTGATGGGGGATGACAAGAGGGTCACCGTCTGTGGGAAACAGATGGAGCCTCATGCGAGTAAGAATGACTCTTTCGAAGAGCTTGCCCATGGCCTTGAGGAGGCTAATGGGACGATGACTGGAGGGGAGGTTGAGAGGCTTTCCTGGCTTGGGGATACCAATCACAGTTGCCTCTTTCGACGTAGTGGGAAAATAACTAAGGTTGAATCAGGCGTTGAAGATAATAGTTAAAAGGGTTAACACCTGCTCAGGAAAGTGTTTAAGGGCTTGGTTGGAGATGCCATCCGTGCCCGGGGCCTTTTTGGGCTTAAGTCCTTTGATAAGGGATGAAATCTCATCATTGGACACAGAGATAGGTTCGGAGGCTGTAGGGGGTGAGTTCCGGCGGCGGACGTCATCCTCCACTGCCTGGACGTGTGAAGGGTCGACGGGTTGAGAGCTAGGAGAGCATTGAGCGGCAATGCTGTCTGCAAAGCACTCAGCCTTTTCCTCGTCCTCGAAGGCTACCGTACCGTCGGGACGGGAGAGAGGGGGAGTGTGGGTGATAGCGTCTATGCGGAGGGCTTTTGCCATCCGATAGTACGCTGTATGAGAGGGAGAGATATTCTCCATGAGTTTACTCTTTTCGAAGTCTCGAAATTTAGAGAGGCGGAAACGGAGTTCTCGTTGAAGACGATTGGCCGTGCGCCTATATTCGGGCGTGGGATTTTTGGCTGCTCTCCGGAAAGCAGCTTTCTTGGCTTTCAATAGGTTGCTAATATGTAGGGGAAGCCCACTATTATTAGCAACCGGGACTACCCTTTCATTCTCCTTAAGGGAGGTTTTAATAAGGGTGGAGAGTGAATCGACCGCGGTGTCGATTTTTTCGGGACTGTCTAAGTCCGACGATAGGGAGATGGGGGAGTCCTGTGAGTCAGAGCTTTCGCTAGGGACTCCTTGAAGCCCTTCCAATTTTTGAAGGTTTTGGTAGAGGGTGTTGAGGGGGGTGGCTGATGCCCAAGAATGAGGGAGACCGGTCGGTAGTCGGATCCTAGATCGCCTAGTGTCTCGATTGCCCTGAGGTAGAGGGAAACACTATTGAATAGTGTAAAATCTAGCACGTCTGGAGCGTAGTCGGCGACATCAGGATAGTGAGTAGCACCGAGGGGACTGTGAACGGTAAGGTCAAGAGACTGCGTGATATCAAGCAGTATCCTGCCACTACGGGAGGTAGTACGGCATGTCCATTCAGTATGCTTGGACTTAAAATCTCCAAACATAATGACTGGGTTACCTAAAGATAAAATAGCCTCAAAATCTCTTTTGAGGGGAAGGGTTCCAGAAGGGATGTAACAGGAGGCTATGAGGATGGACTGATGTCCATCCTCATAGCCTCCATGTTGGTAAGCTGCGGAGTAGAAATGGGCGAGCAGTGAAGTGTTTTCTTGTAATAAATGGCCGTACCGCCGCCTCGACGGTCGGGTCTGTCATTACGAAGAAGAGAAAAGTTTTTAATGGAAAGACCTTTAGTGTCCTTAGTTTTAAGATTAGTTTCCTGTAGGAGGAGGAAATCGGTTTCACGATTTCGAAGAAACAGCTTAAGCTCTGGGAGCTTATTTCGCAAACCGCGAATATTAAAAGATACAAGCGATAGACCCTTAGGTTTGATACGACCGTGAGACTTTGGTAGAGCAGACTGCTCTGTCATTATGAATTTAAGTTAATTAAGTTAACTTAACTTACAACGAGCACAAATGATTATGATGCTCTGCAAGAGCGAGGAGACGGTCCTGAGGGGACCTCGCAGCGCGCAATTTGCGTGCTAAAACAGCGATTTCCCCAACGTCGATGTTCCTAATAGCGGAATACACCGTTTTTAGGTCATCAGCCATTGAGGGCTGTGATTGTTGTGGGGCAGAGGATGTCCGCGGTGGGTCTGCCTTTTTGGGGCCCTTTTTTAATGTTACGGAAAACCATTATATAATAACATTTTTTTAAATAATTACGTCACAAAAAATTTAAGCCCCAATTGCCGATACATAGCTGTTTTTACGATAATATTATATTCGACGACTCAAAGGTAATATAGAAATATAATTACATAAATTCTAATATCCCATCGATTAAGATTAAGCAATATTTTTGACTCTATAGCTCTCAACATAATGAATCTACTCCCTGCACTTTCGCCTGTGGCCCTCTCTCTACCTAGTGACGAACAGTTGGGCCACCAACTGGAAGTAAATTACGTCAACTAAATAAATAAAACTAATAGTCATGAGTTTTGGAATGATACAAATAATCATAAGTCTTATTTATGACAATAATTTCTGTATATTAATGAATTTCCGCATAAACTTCAGAAATAGATTGTTGCTAACTCCTAATAAATAATTTTGTAATCTTAAACACCCAAAACCATGAAATTCTACTAGCGGGTCCAACTCCGGCGACACGCACTTCACAATTATCATGACACTAGTTTAAACAAATCAAATCAAAATCAAATCAAGATATGGTATCTCTAAGGGTACGCGCACCTTTAATTGCGCGGAAAGTGAAAAAAGCTCGCGCTAGTAAGCAGCGCGGACGCAAGTTGTAGGGACGGGCAAGAGAAAAAACATATTCATATTTATCGAATCGATGTTTCCAAACAGTATGATAATTATTGAGTGAAAAATATCGATATATCGTCATTTTGTCAAGCATTCAAGATTGTTCATACATATTAACAAAACGTTCAAAATTAGTTAAAAAAAATATACACATGAAGATTTTTTTTTATTTATGCTTTGAAGTTCGATCAATTATTTGATAATACAAAATTGTCGTTCTGGTCGTTCCGCAGCGCACACCACGCAAATTAGTAGATGGTTTCAGCTTTACTAAATACAAAACTATATTCAGTTAAAATATATCAAAATTGATACGAATTCGATACTCTAAAATAACTGTCTTACATCGACATATTACAATAAAATATCGACGACATATATCGATAATTTTATGGGTACATATCGATATTTCGATGTATCGATATTTTTGGGCAAACCTACTTGTCGCAAGTGGTGGCGATCAGTGCGCGTCGAAGTGCGGTGGTCGGAGGTCGCGAGCGATGCGCGCGCCTGCAGCATGGACGTGTGGAGCGCGCCGCCCGCGCTGAGCGCCGCGCCGCCCGCCCACTTCGCGCTCGCCTTCCTCCCCGGCGCCGGCTCGCCCGCGCATCCCCAGCACCACACACAAGGTGCGTCCAATGTATTCTCACTACACGACAACCCTCCCGCATGCCTACGGTAAGCTCTGCCAATATACATACGCTAGCAAGTTTAAGGAACCATCACATTACATTCATTTTCTGCCGACTTCCAAAAAGGAGATGGTACTCAATTCGACTGTATGTTTTTTTTATGTGTGTTACCTCATAACTTTGAACTGGGTGAACCGATTTCGATGTTTCTTTTTTTATATGAAAGTTGATAGTTCTCGTGTGGTCCCATATGAATTTGATCAAGGTCGGACCAATAGTTTTTGAGTTATTCTTAAATAACTTATATTGAAGTCGGCTGTACAAAATTTTTTATTTTAAATTATTAGAAATTTACTTACTTGTATTTTCACATTAATTTTTTTTATTTTATTCAGGAAAAATTTTATAAGGATTAAACAAACAGCAATTTATAAATAACATTAGTAATTATGTAACAATGGTGCCGCCATTATTCACAAAGTAATATTTAATTAGTATGATACACGATAAACCGAGTTTAAAAACAAATTAAAATTGACAATACTCAGTAATATGAAAATGTCAAAAAGAGACAAAAGGAAAATATTGCTAACAAACCAATCTATCTTGTGAATTATTTTTATTTCTATAGAACAACCTTCTTAGAATATTCTTATTACATTGCGAAATTGTAAATCTGATAAAGTGAATAGGTTGATTTCAGAAAAATATTTTTTCAATACTACTCACTATTTATATTATGTAATATTATGATACACATAAAAAATTCGTACCCGAGCAAAAACGATGCGCACGCGCAATCTCGATCGCAGGCACGAAGGACATCAACGCGCGCTCGTTGTTTATACTTCGCTGCGGCTTTTGTATTTTATTCATTAAGCGGATTCTTTTAGTGACATGATGGAGTATTTGTAAAAAATACTTTCATTGGAACTTATTTTGAACAGATTAGTGAATTATTTTACTATAGATTTGTTTAAATCTTTGCAGTTCATTTAATGATTTTGAATTTAAGCGGTGCATTTGCATTTGCGGTGCTTGTGACTATAATTGTCGCTCTAGCGTGGTTTAATTCTAGTCGTATATCTTACGTTTTATCTGACGTGCCACACTTCGACTTTAATTTTTTTTATTTAAAAATTTAGTTATTATGCCGTTGTCATTGCAATGTGTACAAGCCGTTATTTAATGACCATATCCTATCCATATAATATCATCTGCTTACAATGTAGGCAGTGCAAAACCAACATCATTAGTCCGAGGTTCACGGAGCCTGCCACCGGCAACTACACTCAATTTGCAGCGATTGGCGGTGAATATAAAGCGACCCGGAATTGTTCGTTATAATAAATTAAATATAATGTCAAAAAGCAACAGAGAAGCGTTTCTAAACAATATAAATATAATATTATTTAGAAACCGCTTCTCATTGCTCTTTTGCTTCTGCTGCAGCCCTTTTACTTTCACTCACCATAGTTTACTCAAACTTTTTCAAGGGTTCTGTTGACTTAAGACACCCTCATAACTATATAAACAAAACACTGAATAAAAGTTCAGTTCGTCTATTCCATTTTGCAACAGCACCGCGACTTCTACAGTCTTAAATAAATAGGATAAAAATTAAACAAACAACAAACAAACGATATTTATATACTTTTGGTATACTTGTTGGTATTAACAGTGGTAGAGCCAGGCGGCAGCTTTTGCTGTCGCACGGATGGGCCGGCTCGAACCGGGGTGGTACCACGACTTCACAGAATACCAGCGTGAATTAGAGGTTTACCTCTGCGTTTCGCTTGGTGAGTGCAGGTGGCCGGAGGCCCTTTTTACTGGAAATGAGGCATTCCATCCTAGTCCTCACGGGTGACAACACATCTATATTTTGATTCGCAAACGAGGATAAATGTAGATGTCTATGGGCCACAGCAACCACTTACCATCAGGTGGACTGTGTGCTCGTTTGTCACCCTATCCTATAAAAAAAATTATAGTTAATATATATTTTGTTTAATGCAATCCCCTATTTGAAGTCATGGTATTATTTCTGCTTTCCATAGCGAAATAGATATCATTATTATCTTGTCATTACTTCTTTTCAATTAACTGGTTATGAGGATTGACACTTTTAGTTATTAACTTTACTACATAATGCAGTTGTATTTCATATACTTACTGACTAACGAGAACCGTATAATATCTCGTAAATAATCGTTTTCTCGTAGAGTCATTCGATCTTAGTTTTTAGGGATGACAGGTTGTTTCTGCAATTTAATTCTCTTTAATTCGGGTGACAACACATCTGCATTTTGTTTCGTAATCGCGGATAGATGTAGATGTTTATGGGCCACAGCATCCACTTATTATCAGGTATGGACTGTGTGCTTCGTCATCAGCCTTGCTTCTACGCATTGTTGTTTTTTACTTCAATATAAATATGTATACAGTTATTTTTCAATAACCGGCCATATTTGCAGAGAAGGTTCAGAAAAAATCTCAAAGATTCTGTCCTGTTTAACTTTCAAATTCAAAATGCGTGGTAATGCATTATTTTAACTGATTTTACTGCGCATGCACACATTCATAAGGGTCAATCGGTAGGAAAAAACGTTGTTGCAGATAAATTAAATTCAATTTGGGATAATTTAATTTTTTTTACAGAATGTGGGTGACAAACGAGCACACAGTTCACCTGATGGTAAGTGGCTGCTGTGGCCCATAAACATCTACATCTATCCTCGATTACGAAACGAAATGCAGATGTGTTGTCACCCGTGAGGTCTAAGATGGAATGCCTCGTTTCCAGTAAAAAGGGTCTCCGGTTCTCTACACTCACCATACGAAACACAGCAGCGATAGCTGCTATTTTACGCTGGTATTCTGTGAGAGCGTGGTCCTTCTCCTTTACTCTTTTTTTTTTACTCTTTGAATAATAGCTCTATAGTTATTTTTTGAATAATTTTTGAAGTCGGAAACCAACCAATTGCATCTTTAGATGGGATTTGTGTTCCAACCTGACCACTGAGCAATAGAGCACGCTCGCCATTGTTTTATACCTAGTAATGAGATATTAATTTATTACTCTACCAAAATCAAAAGCGCTGGAGGAGCTGGAGGCGCTCGAGGCGCTGGCTTAACTAACATAACTATGATCAGCGCCTCAATTTGGAACTTGTACGCGGCCACGTAAATCTGACGCGTCAAAAAATGTCCAGAAGATTTTTGAACCGAACGTACGTCGTACGAGTATTAACCGGAAGCGCTCCCAATCGAACAAGAAATAGAGTAAAGTTAGGCAAGTTCAGTTCAGCAGGGCTATTCACAATCGTCTCGGAAAGCGAAATCGACTCGGATTCGATAACTTCTCGCACCGAAACCAATAAACGCTATTGACATTTAACGTTCGGATAAAGGTCACTTAGATACATCCCATAACTATTGTATCGTCATTTAGTTACATGCATTTACGAATTTTGTAGATAAATAGGCTTTTGTATTTTTTTAGAGTAACGCCTGAACAAAAACATAATGCAATATTTTGGAGTTAGCCATTGATATCGAATATAAAAAATATATAATTTAACTATATAATAAATAACAAAAAAACTGAGATATGTCTCGTTTCTGTCGGGTCTGGGTTTTTTTCTATGGGGCGTGACCGTACTTCTTTGACGTTTGTTTTCGATAATTGTGACAGTTTGCATCGGAAACTTTACGAGAGCTCTGAGGCTGGCGAAAACTTTTCGAATATTGATGATTAGAAGAGATCCCTTTTAATTATAAGGTAGATAACAATTTATTAATAATAAACAACAATAATTAATTATAATTATCTATAAGACGTATTTTCATATAATTACTTCAATATTTGCACTTAATCGTAAAGTTGAATTTTTGTGAAAGGTGTGTTTTTATAAGTTTTCTATCACAAAGCAGCATATATATATATATATATATATATATATATATATATATATATATGCTGCTTTGTGAAACGAGACATATCTCAGTTTTTTTGTTATTTATTATATAGTTAAATTATATATTTTTTATATTCGATATCAATGGCTAACACCAAAATATTGCATTATGTTTTTGTTTAGGCGTTATTCTAAAAAATACAAAAGCCTATTTATCTACAAAATTCGTAAATGCATGTAACTAAATGACGATACAATAGTTATGGGATGTATCTAAGTGACCTTTATCCGAACGTTAAATGTGAATAGCGTTTATTGGTTTCGGTGCGAGAAGTTATCGAATCCGAGTCGAATTCGCTTTCCGAGACGATTGTGAATAGCCCGGCTGGTCGGTTTCGGAAGCAAGTCGCGGATCTCGGCAGAAACCGGGCGACGTAGCGTGGAGCGAGGTGAGGCAAGGGGGAAGGGGAAGAGGGGGGGTCGCTGACCGGCGACGTTATGCAATGCAACAGGCGAGCGCGAACGCCGCAGCGCCTGCTATCATAGCGATGCGCTTGGCTTTCACGCGCCGGTTAACTTAGGTTAGGGTTTCTTGCATTATTGAGTTTGACTAACTCTTATCAAAACATTATCGTCGAACGTGTTTGCCTTCACTCAAAACTGTACAAGCGTAATGCACGAAGACTGCGGCGGGCTATTATACTAATATTCACGTGCACGCCTTTCTCGTGTGAATAGCCAATGTAATAAGCTTATTGAAAGCATAAGTTATTTATTAAAATTATTTGTTGTCAGCTTCTTGCAAACAAAACTTAGTTAAACTAATACATGAGGGGAGACATATTTATATTTTATATGTCGTCAGAGTGAATTAACAAAGGTAGCATTACTTATGACGGCTCCGTGGTGCAGTGGCTTAGCAATGAGATGTAGCGCTGGGGGCCGCGGGTTCGAATCGCCGCACGTAACAAGTATTTGTACGGCCTACAAATAATTGTTCCGGGTCTGGGTGTTTGTGCTCGTGCAATTTATGTTTGTAAACTGTCTCCACGACATAGGAGAAAATCCTAGTGTAACGTT